CATCTCACTAGCGACGTTGTACACCTCTTGGAATTGTCCTTGCAACGGCCAGTCACTGTAGTGCAACAGAAAAGGGTCCAGATCATCATTAGGTAGAGGGTCAACACTCATCACGGCGGCCGAAGAACCTTGGCTCCACGAAGGGGTCATCGTCGAACGCAACGCCGAAGAAGCTACAGCACGCGAAACAGCAGGCGAACTCCTAGCATTCGTGGAAGATACCAAAAAGAAATCATCTCCAGTCTCGCCGTTGGATACGCCAAAACTGCGAAGACGATCAATCCCCGAGCNAATAGAAGACGGCTGCACACGAACATCTTGGGAGACTCCAAATGGGTGCACGGTGGTTGCTGTTGACGGTAGTACCGGCTGAACTCCGCCATCGGCTTGTCATTTCTTACCCGTCCAGCCCCTTTATGTCGAAGTGGAAGCCTCCGACGAGTGCTCTGTGTGTGAGGACTGTTTCGTGTCCGATGTGTCGGATGAGCGGCGGGCGCGTGCTCAGGGGTGATTTCGATGTGGGTTGCGTCCTGTAGGGCGTCTATACGAGGTCACGCGCTTTTTCCACCGACCCCAAAGGGTGGGATCTTTTTCCATACAGAACTTGACGTCATTGTTAAGCAAGCCGGTGGCGTTCACGAAACCACGATTACAGGACTTGAAGCAGTGGTCTTCTCTTAAACAGTTGAGGCACTTGCCCTTGTACAGTCGAAGCGCGTTGCGGCGTTCTTCAGCCGAGACCAAGGGGGTGAACAATGGCGGATCATTCTTGGTTAGAGCCATCTCACTAGCGACGTTGTACACCTCTTGGAATTGTCCTTGCAACGGCCAGTCACTGTAGTGCAACAGAAAAGGGTCCAGATCATCATTAGGTAGAGGGTCAACACTCATCACGGCGGCCGAAGAACCTTGGCTCCACGAAGGGGTCATCGTCGAACGCAACGCCGAAGAAGCTACAGCACGCGAAACAGCAGGCGAACTCCTAGCATTCGTGGAAGATACCGAAAGGAAATCACCTCCATGCACCGCCGGCGTGTGCGCGAACGCACGCACGCTTGTCCAACACATCCCACATATCATCCAGACACGAAGCATGTCGCCCAAAAGGGGCTTCCATGAGAGCTGCTCATCCTTGTACACCTGCCCAGACACTACCGGAAAGTGCTTCAACATGGAGTCTCGAACAGCTATCTGCATGCTTGAACGCGTGGTGNAACACGTTTGCGCAACAACGGAAGCCATCCGGTGACCCAGGCAGAGGAATTGAAAGTCTCCTTGCGCTTAACGTCGCTTGTGTCTAGGATCTCTGTGACCACACCCTTGCAGCTAGACGCGAAACGAGCAAATTCACCAGGATCAGGACCGAGGGGCAAGCGTGTAACACTATCAAGTTGTTCCGGCTTCAGCGTGTCCATTTTGTCTAGAATGCGGATGGTGTCGGCCTCCGCTGCAGCGGTGTCCGCAGCGTCCAGAGCCTCCTGCCTCGCTCTCGCTCTCGTGGAAGACAAAGCCAAACCAGCATCGTCCTGAGTCAATGGCGATGTCGCTCGACCTGTTGGCTCGACGATGTGGCCGGTAGCAGAGCTAGGATTAATCAGAATAGACGCACGCTGGAGGGGGGGGGGCGACACCACCAAAGGCTGTTGCAACAGGGCTGGGGCTGCCGACGCTGACGGTTCCACCGCAGGTCTGACCGGTACTGTCGCCGACATCGTGGCGGATGACGATGATCCTGACGTGGCCCTGGCAGCGGTTTCGGCACGAACATCGCGCCCTACAGGAGCTCCCGACAAACTCGAAGCGTGGTCTTGCAGCGGTGCCAGATGCGTTCGTGGGGAGAAAGATGGGGCAGGTGGTTGAACGCTAGGAGCGTGGGAGGGCGCAGGAGGTTGTACATTCGCGTCGGCAGCAGCATCCATAACTTGATTGATTTGCTCGCAGGGGAGTGAGTACTTATTCCAACAGCATTTCAGTACGGGAAGCCGAAGTCGAGGCGTGTGATGTAGCGTGGCGTGGTGACTCAACACGTTCGTCCAAGGGCAAGGAAAATGTGGGATGATCCATAACGGCATGGGCAGGGGCATGGCTTTTCACAGCGGCTGAATGTCACGAAGTTGCATGTTAGCAAGTTTGAACTCCAAAGAAGACATGGTCCGTTGGCCTACATCAGCGGGAGGGCGTAGAACAAGCGGTGAAGAACAGAGAGAACCGTCTTCTGAAGCATCCTTGTTTTCCCCCAACAACCCAGAGCTACGAAAACCACCCCGATCATGCATCACTTGCCTGTTACCGTGGCCTGACTTCCGTCCCCCGTTTCCGCCGCGACTGCTGTCAGTGCTGGTCGCCCTGCTGTTGCCCCCGCTCCGGTTCTGGCTCCGGCTGCGGCTACGCCTAGACGAAGGCGTGTTTCTCCCACGACGGTCGCCGCTCCGGCTGNAGAAGGATTGGTGCGCTGTTGCCGTTCTGCGCTCCGACTCCTGCTCCGGCGATGGCGGCTCGCCGGCGAAGACCTGGTAGGCTGGTTCCTCACGGCTTGCCCTCGCCCGCCATCTCCGGCGACGCGCCCTCGCGAAGACTGGGTGGAGCGGCGGTGGTCGTCCGTCCCGCTCTTGGCCGTCGAATCTTGGTCACCCCAACGGTTCTTCCGGCTCTTAGACGCAGGAGCCGCCCACCGACAGTAATCCTTGTCCCCTCCAGAAACATGTGCAGGGCGTGGGGAGGCCAGCCGTTTGACTTGTAGATCGTGCTTGAAATCGTGGGTGGAGGCAGCACGGGCAAGAGGCAGCCGGAGTCCTTCACCTTCGGTCACCACCGACGTTCCCTGAGGACCGCTGGTAAAAGAGGCACGACGGAGAGCGAACAAAAGCCGGAACACGGACTGCCGCGAAGAAGTCGGAAGTTTCGCGATGTAGGGGGCATGATACATGTGCCCGAAAGCAAAGGTGTGCGAGTGGGGAAATTGAGCACGGACGAGTTGTTTTTTGCCAGCCCATGCAAAAAGAGCTGCCAATTTGTCCTCATCGTGGAAACTTACTTCTTCGGCTGGCATCTCCAGTGGGCGGGACAGGAACGCTGTATCTCCAACGTGGAACTCGTACACCGTGGTTACGGCCGCAAACGATGCTCCGTCTTCAGCAGCGACCGGAAGACCCAACGTCACCGAATCCTCCGGAGTCTCTGCCCCCTCTCGCCCCTTCTCGTTCGCCGGAGTAGCCGCCACCTCCCGCTCCTTCTCGTGCGGCGAGGCGGTACTACGGGAACCACGGGGCGCCCGGGATTGCGATTGGGGAGGGACAATAATACGACGACGGGGGTAGGGCGAAGGCAAAGCTGCTGCTCGCGGGTCCTGGTGGCGGGGCTCCAGGTCCTCCAGCCGCGATCGGAGCACCTCCTGCTTCGCCCTAGCAGCTTGGAGATACGCCTCACGCTCTGCCAGAGCAGCCGCACGCTCCTCCTCCTGCTTCCTCGCAGCAGCAGCCCGNCGGGGCGCCCGGGATTGCGATTGGGGAGGGACAATAATACGACGACGGGGGTAGGGCGAAGGCAAAGCTGCTGCTCGCGGGTCCTGGTGGCGGGGCTCCAGGTCCTCCAGCCGCGATCGGAGCACCTCCTGCTTCGCCCTAGCAGCTTGGAGATACGCCTCACGCTCTGCCAGAGCAGCCGCACGCTCCTCCTCCTGCTTCCTCGCAGCAGCAGCCCGAGCAGCCTCACACTCCTCCGCCTGCTCCCTCGCAGCAGCAGCCCGAGAAGCCTCACGCTCCTCCACCTGCTTCCTCGCAGCAGCAGCCCGAGCAGCCTCACACTCCTCCGCCTGCTCCCTCGCAGCAGCAGCCCGAGCAGCCTCACGATCCTCCGCCTGCTCCCTCGCAGCAGCAGCCCGAGAAGCCTCACGCTCCTCCACCTGCTTCCTCGCAGCAGCAGCCCGAGCAGCCTCACGCTCCTCCTCGTGCTCTGCGTCCTCGCGCTCCGCCTTCTCCCGTGCTCCCGCGTCTACGACCTTTTTGGCAAGACCGTTGCACCACATCTCGTTCAACGCTCGATAGGCCGTAAACTCATCGTGGGGTAAGAGGAGCAATTTTTCTTCCGGGGGAAGCGAGAAAGGAGGAACGAAAAGGGGAAAATCAGACGACAGACGAGCCGCTACTACCACATCCTCCAGAGAGATACTTCCAGTGTTGCAGGCCCGCTCCAGTTCCGCCGGATCTGCCGTGGCGATGTTGGCAAGAAAATTATCGACGGTGAACACGATGGGCATGGGGGGGCTCTCGTCTCCCGCACCGGCCGCTGGAAGCTGCTCTGCGGTGGGAGCCTCGCTCTCGGCTTCGTAATCCAGGATTTCCACAATGTCGCCCAGGAGTTCCACATTGCCACTGGACATAATGTCCTCTTTTTTACCAAAGACAGGGCCAGAGAGAGGGTAGCTACGATCGATTGTAGAAAGGGCAGCAGGGCCAAAAACAGTAGAAGTAGGAAAACCAACCGCAGTTGAGGCAGCAGAACCAAGAGCAGCAGAAGCAGTAAAGCTGGGTGCACCTTCGGGAAAAGCAAGCCGAGGTCCATGCGAAAGGCGGAGGTATCCACAGGATAGCATACGCCCAGTTATAAAAGCTTGGTGCACACGAGGTTGAAGCGGATCCAGCCAAGCAGGAAAAGCGTCCAAAAGCACACCATGCCATGCACAAACAGCAGTATAGAAGCTATAATAGCACAAAAGGACCCGTGTTAGATGGAGACACGAGATTTTCCGACCAAAAGACACGCAGAACAGCACGGCGTTCCTCCGCAACTGGTGCCGAAGTGCGAGCAGAGACCGCTGTGGGTTTACGCTGTTGAAAGGCTTCCAATTCAAATACTTTGAGGGTGAACGATTCCCCGAAGAAAAGTACCATGTGATTTCAAAAAATGGAGGGAAGGCTGGCGGGACAGCTGACACCCAATTTTTGTGTGCACACAACGCGCTCCAAGTCGAAGTAAGCGGAGTCAAATCGAAGAGCACAAGAAAAATCCGCGGACATCGGCCGGTACGCCGGCATGAATGCAGTAGAGGTGGTAGCAGACGTAGGAAGCATGCTGCCATCTCGGGTCCCACTAGACTATGCCTATTGATTTCCTTGCCTACAATATGCGCACTTTTTTTCCTTTTGGCGCAGACCAAAATGGTGGTTTTACTGACGCAGACTAGAATGTATATAGAAACCAACACCAATCAGCCGAATGGAGGCATGGTGCTATGTTTGGCTGGCACATCTGATGTGTTTCAGCTTCACAGTGCGTGTCATGCACCATCGTTTTTTTTTTCCCGCGAGAGTTTGGCGACGACAAAGTCGCTCTAACAGTGTCTTGTCTCTCAGTGTTTTGTTTTTTCGGCGAGAGTTTGACGGTGTGTGTGTTTTTTTTATTAGTATCGACCGCGCTAACCGGCTGACCAATGAAAAGACGTCAGTCTTAGTGCGGTTGAAAACACAAAACACTTCTATCTGCCATGAACTGGGACCCTGTGAGGGGGCAGCATGGGGGAGGCTAAACTATCCTTCGGATCAAAGACAGAAACAGCAGCAACAGAAGAAAATTGCACGTGTCTACGAAGGATACTACCTTGTACTCGAGTTCGTTTAGGAGTACTTTCACCATTATCCTCCTTATGTTCGCTACCATCATTCGGATCCTCATTTTGACAAGAATCTCTGGGCAGTTCTTTCCTAGTCCTACGTTTTTTCTTTTGGGGAAGGTCAATTGGCTCAAACCCTTTGCTCTCTTCCACTCCTCCATGTTTTCCTCCTCCATCGTCGTCTTCGTCCTCCTTTCTTTCCTTCCTATCACCTTCGTCTCCGTCACTCCCAAAAAAATGGCCCTCATTACTATCGTTGTCGCAGAGATCCCAACCGATTGGCCCTGGTGGAAGTTGGTCGATCAGTAGCCCATGACGTTGGAACATATCGCGAGTTCGCATGGACAGAAAACGAGCTAGCCCGAAGGTAAACCGTCTCCGAATCCTGAAGTATGAAAAGCTTTCAGGCGGACTAACGCTCTTTCGTCGTCAAAATTCCCCCGGCAAAATGCGTCGTGCGCCAAGTGGTTGGCGATAGCAACGATGAGTCGATTGGTGCCTTTGCCAAGACCACCATTTGTTGACGCAGCAGTAAGGAGGGTAGATCTAGACGGGTTGCAAGTTCCCGCATAGTGATTTGCCTTACTTGCGGCTCGATCTTCGAGGGCGGATCCTGGCTTTTGCATCGACTTGTCGATGCTTCGACCTGCGGATGGGTTGACGATTGTTACGTCTATAAGAATGGACTTGGTGCAGAGTTCCTCTTCCTTCTCTCCTGCGTGCAATCCTCGGGGGATCACCAAATCCATCTCGTATAGCCCCTTTCCCCTACCAGTGCCTGTGAATAAAGGGGAAGAATCCTCAACGGCGATGGGCATATGGCACTCACGCAGTGTCTCAAGGATTACGCGAACCATCCTGTTATGCCCCACCGTCCTCCTGCGGTGCGAGCTGAATTTTTATTGTTATCGCGAGAAGGGTCCAGCCGTCCCTTTCCCTCGTCAACAGTGCTAACTAACGTCGAAGTGTGGTACTCACGAGAGCTTTTTAGTCATAGATATTTCGCTTTCACCCGCAAATTTCGTAACATTTTTCATCTCATGGGGATTCGAACTCACGATTTCTGCGACTAACGCATTGCGCGGATACCACTAGACCACCGGGTTGACCGGTTTTGACCAACAACCAATGAATGGTTTTTGTTTCATGTCTAACAGGCACCCCCCCAAAAAAAGACCTGTCTCTCCCCCAACGCCGTGGGGGCCCCAACCCCACCCTCCCCATAAAAACCAAACGGCATCGGGGACACGATGCCACAGCAGCATTATCACAGTAGCGGCACATCGCCACTAGGAGTACAGCGAGCATTTGGTGTTGGTGTTGTGTCGTCACATCTCTCTTGCACTACAGCAGGCACTTGCTCTGAATTCGGGGCTGGTTGGACCATTAATATTTCCCTCCGCGGCTGGTTTCGAAACGAGAACCAACCAACCGTCTTGTCGTTTCTTGTCCGGCTACGACAATAATGTCCTGTCGAGTCCTCAACATTTGAACGACAAGGCTTGGCCTCCAAGGACAAGGCGGAAATGCGGTTTCGACGCAAGCTCTAGTGATTCATCTGCAACGTGGTGGTAGTGCATGACAACTCGGCAGTCCAGAGGCTGAAATCTAAGTACGCAGGAATGCGGTAGCTAGCTGTTGGCCAATTTGATGAGGAGATCACATGAAGACGTTCATTCTGTCAACCGTCACAGGCGAAGGCGCTCGTCGGCGACTGTGGAAGTGGTTCAAGTGAGGGTTGCACGGAAGTAATATGCTACTGTTCGATACTTCCAGAGCAAGTTCTAAGCGAAAAACACCTTATTGCACCACCATGCAGTGTCACCCAGCCTTAGGCTCGTAAGTAACTTCAACACGTGTTCAGCACCACTCTCTCACATTCCCCCTTCTCCGAATCGGCAGAGGAAGGTTCCACGCTTGAGGCCTCCGTCATCGTGGAAAAATGCTAGTTTCTCCATGTCACTCTTGTTCACAAGGAGCTGCTCGTTGTCGTCGTCGTCTTCAATCGGCACAGCGACAGTCCGTGCGTGTCTTCGAACTGGTACTGTGCCATCTGGGCGCATCCGCACCGGACGACCCCTCTCCCCTGGCACTCCCCTCTGCGCCATCGCCACTGACCTTGGACGCCCGTTCCTGTGACGCTGCGGAATCAACACATTCAGAGCGGCGGAACAATGCACATATTGTATGTTAGCCGACGATGCACATATTGAATGTTGGCCGAGAAACCAACATAACTCGCCGTGCAAAATAAACATCCTAGTCCGCATGTTCCACCATGCCACGAGTAAGTTGAGCACACAATCAACGAACGATGTCAGGGGCTTCGTACCAAAAGATGAGACACAGTCCCATGCACGTCGGTCACTGCGAGTACCGTATACGGCAGAGCGGGAAACAGTTTCTCGGGAAAGTTCGCCTGTGAACACGCATAACGCCTGGACCAATTGACTACAGTAGTTGGTCACAACAAAAACCGGACAAAGCCGGACTCTACTGTGGTGCCAACAAGAGCTACTGGAGCGAGTACGACCTGGCCGATTTATTCCCTTTTTGTGCAGAACAGTTGGCAACCAAGATGAGCAAATCAGAGGATGTGCTAATCTATTGGGAGAAGTCGTCCGCCCGCCCTCACTCAAAAAAACTTTACCCACCTTCAGCAAGGCCAACCAGGTGTTGCACGCGCTGATCGTCGAAGAATCGCCGGCCATGACTTTGGAACTCCCCCGTCACCACCTTCTCGTTCTGCAGGAACCCTTGAAGCCCCCCCGCCCCCTCTCCCCGGTGTTTGCCATCGGGGTTGGGTTTTCGTCGCTTGGCAACGACGTTGTAAAACAAGCCGCCCCACCCGGTGTTTGCCATTGGGATTGGGTTTTCGTCGCTTGGCAAAGACGTTGTAAAATAAGCCAATTCACTTCGTGAACTCTGCAACCAGGTTACCGGTTTTTTTTTCCTCTATTTTTTTTTGGCGGCAACCATAATGGTGGTCGAGTAGATCATGTTGTGCGGGG